GACTTGGTTTTTACCGACAGGAACAGAGAAATGTGTTTGGGCAGCAACTACTTTTAGCAAATTGTTCCTCGAACCCAGTTAAGCTGCATATGAGAATACGCATTTTCCATAAAAATAAACCTGCATCATTGACCAAGTTGAAAAATCCAAGGGTATCATTTCTACTTATGCCAGATAGAACTTTTTAATTTGCTTCAAAGCTTTTATGAAATTGCTATGAAACTTCATGTCGACGAATAAGTAAATTAGCCAGCGATTACTTTTATTGGTTTACAACTAACTCTAGCGGGACAGCCTGTAGAACATTAAACCTCGCTTTTGTTCACAATGAATACATGCATTTGCCGTGTTTGCGAACCTGCATCACTGACCAAGTTGAAAAATCCAAGGGTATCATTTTCTGTATGTTGAATGAGATTATTTTATAGTTTTAAATGGACACTACATGGTAGAAGTTTTGAATCTTATAACAAGATAAACTGCACTAATGGAGCTATCCAAATAACAATAACACCAGAATTCATGGGTATTTTCATATGTTATGCCACTGAAGAAATAGAGGGTCAAGATGTGACAAATATCTCTAGTTGGAATATAGACATAGCCAGTGAGTAATAAAGATAAATATTTCCTTATAGTGACTGGTTTTCATTACAGTGACTACCTTTCTAACAAACGAAATGTAATTTATCTGTAGTTTTACGACAACCCTTTTAATGGAAAGACATATGTCTGTCTTGATCCCATCACATAATATTTCTAGACAACCAAGGCAAATTTAATCAAGGACTATCCGACTAAAACATCATAGCGTGTTATCTTGCATGAAGAAGGTATAAGGAACTAAATTTTGCGTAATACATTTATCTGTATGATTCGTTGAATATAAAATGTAATTTCGCAATGCATTTATTTTCTATTGTTTTTGACCCAGGAATAGAAGATTGGAAGTCCATTGAGGAGGTTTCTCCGTTTTCAGTTGATAAACATGATCCATTGACATTAACCTGTGATAATATACCGAGAAGCCTCCCCGCTGGTCAATATAGTTGGTACAAACAAGATGAATCTGGAGATCAGGTCAAAGAGTCATCAAGAATTGCTATTGATCGAAAGGGTGGGTGATTTATATTCTATAATTTAGAAAATTGTGTTCAGAAGTACTAGAACTGAACGGAAATCGCACAATCATTTCACTGTCTATTTGTATATCTGCCTTTTCTATTTATATTGCATAGTCTCGAGAAAAGACGAGTGGTCTTAACATAAACATAATTATTACCTATACTATATTTAGCTTAGCTAATTATAAAAATACCATTTCTGACACTCCAGGACGATTGGTCAAACGGATGGCGAACTTGTCCCTTTAATCAGTTCTTTCATTCCAGGCAGCCTACATTTTGTCTATATTGATATGGAAGACAACCTTAAAGGGGGTGAATACAAATGCTCTGTTTCCAACAGAATGTTAGAAGAAATTAAACTTGGTAGTCCTAAGAGATTTTATGTTGAAGAAAGGAAAGGTGGTTTAAAAATATATATAATATTTATATTAATCCACATTCTACATTGGTCATAAATATGTCATATTACAACAGCATTTATTATGTTCAACCATGTCTACATTCAAACATTTTCGTTGACAAAACTTCCCACGTTTATGAACAAAAAACTACTATTTATTAGTCCTGATCATTCCTGTCAAATACACCAAACCTGTCTTCCCCGAAAACAATACCGACCAAAACTAGGATGAACACAGTCAAAGACTACAAAGCACAAGAAAAAAAGAACTTATACACCCCCTGAAGTTTTCAGTTGCAGAAACTATGCATAATATAGAAATTCTTTACTTTCCGTTTTGCACGATACCTACCTTTACCTAATAAAGCGATGAACTCATAATTTTAATTGCAGTTGAAGATAAAGCACCATCTCTGCTTTTTAATGGAACGGACGATTATACTGTTATTGGAAGATCGGATGTTCTTGAGTGCATCTTTAGTGGCTAGTGAGTAATCTATTCCATTTCTAAAAATATTGCATGATTGTGGCTATGTTTTTGCTGGAAAATAGCAAATTTTAGTCTTGACCAATGAACAAAAAACCGATCCCAAACCAAAATCCATAAATCAACAAGCCGAAAAAATCAATCATATAGAAGAACAATAGTACTAAAACCTATCTCGAGTCATTTAAAATGGAAATAAAAGCAAGGTGCCCGGTAGCATCTCAAGACTCAATCATGCATACTACAAGCTAATCCACTAGCTAGACAACATCGTGAATAAAACACGTGGCAGTTACAGAAAGAAAAATACACGCAATTGCATTGACCATGGAATTTTTTCATGCATCTCCAGCCCCGCCCCGGAAATCAGATGGTTTGATAAAGAATACAAACCGATCACAGCAAATGAAAAATATAAAATTGAGAAATGGGGAAGAATGCTGACTATTGAAAATGTACAAGAAGAAGATGAAGGTTATTACAGATGTATAGGTGAAAATTATATAGATAAGGTAGAATCTACCGTGTACCTCAATGTCTCATGTAAGCATTTTTTAAATTATCATCTTGTGGTCATGTACATCATCACATTAACACTATTATCTGTACATCTTGTGATCATGTACTTGATCACATCAACACTGTTATCTGTACGTCTTGTGTTGTTCCCATGCGCCGAATGTTATGCGAACCCTGTGAGAGCCTTGAAATTTAAAATCGCTTGGTGGTTTGACTGGTTTTTCACAGCAATCTAATAAAACGCTCATATCTGAAAATTGACCTACTAATGTACATGCAACTAATAGGAACTGGTCCTTTTTTGTATGAAGTTTCACTTATGAAGACTGCGTCTGATCATTATAAATGACCAGGCCCCATATTCTCGAAACGATCTTAGCGCTAGGATGTCCTTGGTTCTTATCTTCTAAAATTGATTCCAGGACATCCTAGCGCTAAGATCGTTTCGAGAATATGGGGCCTGGATTTAATTACACATTAATTGATATGAGTGGGGAATCTGTTTTGTAAAAATTTCAGCTAAACCGATTTTCCTAAATAACAACGATGAAGCCATTAAAGTGTCTAACAATACCATGATTATGAACTGTTCAACCAGATCAGCTGACGGTGAATCGCCATCTGATCCACCAATATGGTTAGAGAATGGAGAATATCTGCCTCCAGATAAGCTTGGTAAGAAGCTACAAAACATATAAATAAAATCTTGTTTGTCTTGAAGTAAAGCCTAATGGGCTACACTTTTACAATTCAGCTGAAGCTACCAATGGAATAGTCACGTTCAAAGATATTATTCGACAATATGAAAAGAGGATTACTCAAGATATTAACTCTCAGTACAAAATAAATCAAAAGAGTTTTACACGCTCTTCCATTACTGCTCTACTCTCACATGCAACTTGCTTCAGTGTACAATGATGGGACTTTTGCAATAATATTCCCTTTTTTTCATTTTTTCAAGGGTTTTCTTTAACATTACAACAGAAATTGTGTATCTTAACGCGGGAGGTCGATGGGATCGAATTTGAACATCTCGGGTTTTATTGAGCACCTTCTTCCTCTCTAATCTTTAATACTTCTTGCTTCAAAAAATCTACAAATAACATGTATTTCAGATTCTGGAAAATATGAGCTGAAACAAGATTACATGGAGTTGTTTGTATATAATTTAACCAAACCAGATGATTTTAGATGTTTTCAATGCATTGTTTCTAATAGTATTGGTGTAAACTACCGAACGTTCTGTTTTACAGGAAATACTAGTAAGTACTTTCACTTCAATCTAAAATATAACTATTTGACCGCATATTATATCATGTAAAGAAGAAGAATTGGGCCAACTAGACATGTATCTGAAGTACACGAAAAAATAGTGTCGAGGTTCAAGTATACACATGTATTTATGCATGAAAATGATTTTCAGACATTCTCATTAACAACGTTAAAACCATGTGAAGACTTACATCGGGTAGATACTGACTTGTCATAGTATATGTGTTTATATATTAAATTAGAAAATGAAATGAATGGAGTTTTACGTCCTACTTTTCTGAACTTATGGGCTAATGAAGACGGCATTATTAGATCAGAATAGTTTTTAGTATTAAAAATCTCGCTAATAATCGAAGATTTATTTGAAACCATTGTAAAATGAACTGGTCTTAAACAGGAAGCTAGGGCGATAACCTGAAAACTAATTTCCTCAAACTTTTCCTTATTAAAAGTGATAAGTCAGTTGTAAACTTTAGTCACCTTATTTTTAATATAAAGATAAAGGATAAAAACTTACATGATACACCATGGTCTTCTCACAAGGTCCATATCAGGTCAAATTGGTCAGCAAACCGTGGGGTAGGTAGTGTTAACTAACAATAATTCATTTTATCATTTTAACATTGAAATTTCGGATGGTAGATCTACCTTCTTTGAGATATCCAAGCTTCAATTAAAAATTCGGACTTACCCATTACAAACTGATATATGAAGCATTGTGTTGTATTTTTCTCTTGGTGTCTTTTCAGCCTCCGACAATGTGCAATCCTATGGAGCTCAATTTGAAATTGCTAGTACCCGACCAATATTGAATCGTTCTTCGGATGTTGTTAGTCAGATAAATCTAGCTTTACTTATGTGTGTTATTTTTGGTGTGATGGTTCTCTTTGTTGTTGCTGGTATATTGTCCTTGGTGGTATTTAGGAGAAGGTATGGTTTAAAAAAAAATTGCATTATTGTTTTTCCGAATCATTGCACTGATATTTTGCCGTGCCGAACTGAGACCACACCTTCTCGGCCCACTTGAAACTAGAACGGTGTCGAGCTCTCTCAACATGATTACACTGCCACTAAGTCTTGTTTCGTCGACTCGGCTCTGATAATTTGGGGTTTTTCGAATATAATAAAACAAAAAACATTATATTTCTATGGCACTAATCCAAATTTTATATTTTCTTTCTAGACGACTAAAAGCAAATAAAATTCAACATAACGAATTTTACACAGAGGTTAAACAAAGTGAATATGGTGTAGATACTAATAGAAGATTTTCCTGGTGAAATTCTTTCATTGTTAAATATAAATATTAAAATGGTTAGATATATTAAAACAGAACATAAAAAACATGTTGTTGTTACTCGGAGTTTCGCGATATGCGAACTGAACCATCCAAAACTTTCTTGTGCAAATCTCACCAAAACAGGTTTTTTACCCCCTATAAAAATGGTTTGTACCCTCAATTACACCCCGATCTCATTTCTAAAAAATTACAAATATGATTTTTATTTGTCAGAGAGCAACAAATCAATTCTATTTTTCAAATATTTTCTTGGTGATAAGAATGCTCAGTTAGAGTCTCTTGTCTATGTGCTTCCACAGAATTGCCTCATTTTGAATCTCCAGTTCACAGTTTTGGTAATTCTCATTTAATCTTTTAATGTTTTAATTGTCGATTGTTGTACTAAATTTACATTTTATGGTCGATTGTAAATGAATTAATGTCATTGTACAATTTTATTATAAATACGGAATGTTATGTTTATAGGCATCTTGGATTGACCAGATCATCACTTATACAGACGGATAACGCCGATGTATTGTAAATATTGTAACCAGTTATTATTAAAAAATTTCAAATTATTTTCATAGTTTTAATGTAATTCCCTCACTACTACAATACATTTATTAACTCAACGTAAACCTCAGCCGTCCATAATAATAAACTTTTGATTTAAATTAATAATAGTTTTGAGACTATGTAACTAGACCTACATTATGTTTATTACTACTAAAGTTGTCTAAAAATAAAAGTGGACTGCTCGCGGTTATGTTTTGAATGTTTTCTTGACTAATCTTTTCATAAGGCAACCTGGATTATGCTCAAGATTGTACTCTACCATTTTAGGTTTATTCATTAAAGGGAGATAAGTCGATTATAAACGTAAATGCTTGTTACATGGTCTTTGAAGAAGACACGAAAAAATAAATAAAATGTAGCGGACTTCTTTGTCTTTGAGAGCGTACATCAAAATCTACCTTTGTTTGCTCTTCCACAAAAAATATTGTATGCAAAGTTCTATTAGTATCATTACTGGACGACGTTCCCCTCTTGAAATTTGCTTCACAAAGGACCCATGAGGGAAAAGGCCACTTGACCAAAAAAAAAAAAAAAAACGACCAATAGAAACATGTTGAGATTTAGCTGGAATACTTTACAGCTCTCACTGCATATCGCGAGAAGTCTTCAACCTTTATAATATCAGAAACTCAATTAATATGGTGACAAAATCAATTATGTCCTATCAACACAGGGTGACAATTGCTGTTAGAGAATGATGTTGACGTTAAAACCATAACGACCATACGCTGATTCATTAACCTGGGCCATTTGGAATATGTTGTAACAGGAGGAAGGTAGGTAGTTTGGCAGGTAAACTATTTTTTATGAAAGTATTTAGAACAACAACATTAGACGAGGACACGTTTACAAATTTCACGGCATCTATCTCGGTACTAAATTTGTTGATATCTTTGGTAAAGTCAGATTTTCTTGCTTATCAAATAAATCATTTAATCGTGTTCATTATTTTTCCCCTTACCAATCGTTAGGTACAGATGAGGAGTGTAATTTTGATAACATTGGTGGTACTCTTGCTGTTGGCGCATTCTGCTGACTGTGGATTCAGGAGATGGGTTAGACGTAATGACATTCAAGATATTGGTGCCGGTGGAAAGAAACGTGATGTACTGTTCAATGAAAATACGGACGAGGCTCTGGGCGAATCTTTATTTGTTTAGTTTATAGAGGTAAGTAAAATGTTATTTATCCCACTGATATATAATTCACGCTGACGTAATCGCAAATTGTACCTCGGATTTCTGGGATCTAAAACCGAGTTTTTACATCATACATGTAACATTTATGTTTTCCAAAAGGGACGACCATCCTTAATCCAATTAACACCTTTATATCTGATGTACTCTAATATATTTCTAAAATACCAAAATGTTCGCAAGATGCTCTTTCATTTAGGCATATAAGAGAAATTTCGTGTATAAAACCTTATTTTAGGCGCAAATGAACCTTTTATCACATTAACTTGGAATATTTGCAGTTTTAAATTGATGACTCATACTATTTATTGCATTATGTTTGATTTCGTTCCAGATTCGTACTACTCGAACATAATGATGTTTGAATTATTAGTTGTAACAAAGTGCTTAAAAACTAATGAGTTTTGTGTCATTATCATTGTAGTAAGAACACGTTTCATTTGCCATTTGATACAGTCTCTCGCTGACATGTACTTCGCAATTTGGGGTTGAAAGGTTTGAGATGGTGCCCATTGATTTTTTAGCACCCCCTTGTTCCTGTTGGGCAGTCTAGGTGCTACAGTAGGCTTGGCAAAATCTCTTTCACTGACATTACTTGTCGTTTTGTGCCTTCAAAATACACTTTAAAAAGCATGAAATTGATAAAAGTAATTGAGGAAAGTAAGCTATTAATCAAAATTGTGACACCTGGCTTGGTCTGTGTGACTCTTGAAGCAGATCAAATTAATTTAACAACCTAATGGTCACACACGCTTGTTTATAATTATCATTAATTAGTTTTCACGGTATCGTATATAATTCCTGCTACTGTTTTTCATATTACATTGACACTTATTCATATTAGACATCACCTTTCTAGTTCCAACTAACTGTTTGCTTATGTCTGTTTAATAGTTTGACACTTGCGAAATAAGCAGATTGCGCATTCTTTGAATTGCCCGGCTATTTAAACCCACCATGCACAAAACGTTGTCAAAAGTAAATACACGATGTATCCGAATTCAGCCCAAGAGCTATTGGGTAAGTTTTCTAATCCCAATCTAAAAAAACTTGAACATGGCTTTTTAAGTCTAAAATAAATAGACGAACATGTTAACATTAATATCTATTATCGATTAATAACATTGTTATTTAATTTATAATTATGTGGAAATATCGTACAGAAGGGATTTATAGTAAGGAATTCACCCAGTTCCAAACGTCTTGATTGCGGAGGTCAGTAAAGGTCAGAAGATCGGCTTTACTGGACGACTCACATTTTTTGAACTTGGCATAATCAATCAGACCAAATAATTTCCAGGTTGATGTCTTAGCATCTTCACAGATAACCATTCCTCCATCGTCGCCCTGTAAATATACATGTTAATGATAATATGAATTCAAAATTTTTTGAAGGCTCATAGACCCACCTCCGCAATCATATACATGTAATCACTTTAACAGTGGTAAATTTGTAAATGATTAACATGTACGTTATTGACTAAGAAGTGAAAGGCAGCAAGTTTTTAAAGATGATGCAAAGGTATATCTTGTTGTTAACGTGTGCGCAAGTTCTACTTCCACACTGTCCATTTTATATTTAGGATAGTTCTCTACACTCTCATATATTTTTAAATGTTTAATATACTGATATACTAACCTGGCAGAGTCCAGAGGGTCTACCTTCAGTAAAGCGACCACAAGTTGTACCAGGAGCACTCGTGAAAGGATATGAAACGAGGTCACAGGTATAAGATGGGTATAATACAACTTGAGATTCTTTAAGATTTTCAGATGGATCTAAAGCGAATAAGATACATATATCAACTTCGACATTTTGTAACAGATTAATATACAGTTTATATCCAAAACGACCCTTGTACGATTCGCACCATCGAGTGTATTTTGTGATAAAGAGCTTCGTGAATGAAATTGCATAAATAAGAATAACATTGCAAATAAATTTAACTATGAATTTAAGTATGAAGTTCCTGACATGATTTTCAAATAAAATTTTAATGTAAACAAGAAATGATATTTGTGATAGTGACCACATAGTATGGTCAATTTTTACCAGATTGTCTCAAGATGCCTCGGTTGTGGCAGCCGGAACAATTGTGAGTTTATGATGTATATCTCTCCCCGTTCCCCAACAGAAATTATACAAGAATGAATAAAAATCCGTACAAGCAAGAGAAATCCGTTAATCAAAATCTCATCGTCCAAAGCATGGCAAAATCAAGAGTAAAAATATTATAATATTATCGTGTAGGTTCTTATGGTTAAACTTCATCTCATAAATTATATAAGATGGAAGATAAAACTTACTTTGAGTCGAGTCATATGTTCCGTAAGAGGCCATAAAACAATTCTTGACACCATTGTCTTTGGTTGCCAAATCTAAAAATGATGGTAAACAAGCCTTTTCTCTACAGTCGCCAAGCTCAACACGTTCATTTAATTTCAGAACAGCAATATTAAAGGCTGAAATAAAAATTTGTTTACGGGAAGATTAAAATCTAAAGTAGCGTTCATGTATGATAGGTACATCTGATGTAGTTTTCTGATCAAGAATCGAAAGACCTCCTCTATACCCTTTTGGAAATACTCATGGTTTCAACTTGCGCTAAACGAAATTCCGACGCCTGCGGTTCTTATGTGAGTCTTTATTGCTAATGCCATTGGGCTTCAATGCATTTTTGAAAGTCAAACTTCAACACATCCACAACGCCTGGTCGAACATTGGACCTGTGCAAATAGAGTCTATAATGGTTCCAAAACACTGAGACACAAAGCAAACACCATTGGACTGTTTAAACACCAAAGGATTGTGTAATCTAAACTGATACGTTTTAACAGGTGTTCTACCGTTGTAAATGTACTCACATTTTCTGGCAATATCATTTTCACCAGCTATATCATTTAGTGTTGCACGAGTTTCATCAGGTCGATAGTTACCAGGATGGATGGATGTGTTACACACAGTATGATATCTTTCTCGGGGTGTTGGATTAGAAATATCTAAAGTCTTAGTGTTCAAATCGCCAGCCACAACCAATAAATTGGGTGCAGCTCTCTGTCTGTTGTTCAAAACTGACGCCCTAAAAAGAAAAAAATAGCTTTTGGAACTTCCATTGTAAATGTTAACATGTCTTGGAATTGTGTTCAGCTTTGCAATACAAGAGCTAAAAGTGTTTCCGGATGACACATTAACACAAACATGAAGATTTGGCATCATGTTCTTCATCGGATAGCCGATGCTACCTATGTCATATTATTGGGCTAAAGCTCGGTTGTACTTACATGTGTAAACAATTAGCACTCGTTAATACAGTATCTTCTTTTACCAATACCCCAGTGCATAAACTATCTGTGTTAGAAGGGGTTGGAGAAGCAAATGAATTCTGGCGAACTCGAATAGATACAATCCATGGCCAACGACAAGCATCTAACACATTTTGAGCATTGAACATACGACCGTTAATTCGCAATGGTTTTCTTACACCACATGCCGGCGGTGGTGGTGTTGGAGGGTTTGGTGCTACAATTCAAAGTTAAATTTTCAATAATGGTAATCGTCAGTAGAAATAATAGAAATAATAATTGTATTTTTCTTACAAACTTTATCACGTGTTTGACATACAAAATGAAAAGCTTTTAATGAAAAGACCATTTGATAGGACATATAACTATTTAATCGGATAATGGCTGCCAAGTCAAATTAGTTGACAATTATATTTGCTGTTTCAGCTAAGTCGCACTGTCAGTGCAGAAAATACATGGAAATAAATAAATGGTAAAAAATAATACCGAAGCTGATATTTTATTACTTACCATTGATTAATTTCCATGCATTTTTTTCTTTGTCGTTATCGATATTCATTATTGTCGGTAATAAAAAAAAAATGATTTACTGATAACTCACGTGTATAGCAACAATTTCGGTCTGAAGACCCACAATTGTAAATGGCACTCTTAACTTTTCCTGCTGGGCACGGTAAATTCACATTGACACATTCTCCATTTTTTTCAAAGAGAGTACAAACTGGAACAAGACGGCGTTATTTACAAAATATATAAAACATACAAAATCATATTAAAAATTAAGGCAAAGAGTCAAAAGACGACGCTCAAGAAATTATTATAAAAAAGTACTTAATATTTTTTCAATAATTGCTTAAATTTATGGACTATACAGGGATTCTGTTGTACAGCTATCACATTAAGCAAATCCCCTGATGAACATAATATACCTTTTGGCCAAGTTTGAGACATTAAATGTTATGTTCATTCTTAGAGATATAATATATATAAGTTATGAATAAAATTATTCATTTTAAGAAATTATAGTCTATTAAGGATAATCATATTTTATTTTTGTGTTTCCGTACGTACTCTTTATTACAGATATTGGTCGTTTTTCAGCTAGTCTAATATTATATACGTTAATACATCCATGGGTATCCTAATTTTGAATTTCTTGTCCTACCTTTGCTTTTTTAAAATTCCATAAAATATTTGACGAGATTTTTGATGTCACAATCTCAAATAACTTTGAACAGTGTTATTTTGGGAATTTTTTCCTGGAATAATTGAAACCGGAGAGGCATGAAAAAATCAGAAGCTACATGTGTTCCCAATACGTATCACAGAATATAAAACCTAGGTGATTATAAAACATCACTTACATTGTGCTTGTGAGTATGTCAACCCGAGGGTTATGATGAAGATCACAGTTGTAAGGTGCTGCATGGTAATTGCAATGAAATACATCAAATGGTTGGTTGATTGGTTGGTGGATTCCAGTGGATGGTGATAATAAACTTCAAATGTTTCGTGTCGTCTTATATAGCATTTGGATTGAACAGTCAGTTCCTTAATTAACACAAGAAACACAGTATCCTCCTATTTTCTAAACAAGGGAGTTCAGTGCTTGAACAAGAAAGAGGCAATACGGAACAATTAATCACCACTCCAAATTCAAAAGAAATGTACAATTTGTTAAGTGTAAATATAGCGCTAGTGTGTAATCTGTCAACTTTAAATTTTAGACAATAATGTCATTTGCACTTTACCGAGAAAATGATATTTTACAGGATATGGCGAAGAGAAAAAAGGTACATGCAATTATTAAAGTAATCATACCAGATAGATAAAAAGATCTGTAATATTACATGCCAATGCAAATGAAATACAAATCATTGTACAAATCGCCATTTAAAATATGGAATTAAAGAATCTGTCTGAACGTTTGATCGAATCTGTCTCAGTCGACATGAGCGCCAAGTTGTGGTATTATTGACAATGTGATCGACGATAAGCTTGAGGTTTTGATAGAAAGATCATGAGCAGTGGACATTGGCAACTAAGATATTTCCATCGTTGATGCGATCAGTCCAACTCTCATTATTTTCTAATATTCTGCATGTTTCGTGCACATTTTACACTTGCACTTGCAATTTGCGGCGATAACTATGAATTGACACAGTCATCTTCTAATTATCGGTTTTACTAAAGTGTAAAATATAGCAGTCTAAACAGGCAAATGTAGAATCTCCACAATTCAGAGGTTTCTATCTAAGGAACACATGTCAGTTCGAAGCTCATTCTATTGTTGATAACCCCCAAAAATCTGCAGTGAGTCTGAACGCATCTCATTTTTTTCTGGAGTCAAATATTTTAAATAGTTTTGCATACCATTAATCTATTCAAATAAGGTGTTATTTGAAGAAAATCTAATGCAGAAATGTAATCTGAAATTATATATATATATTTTTTGGTAAATTTACTGTGATTCATTTAATTGTTGATGACATTCTTGTTGATGAACTCATCTTTACACTTCCTGTTAAAGAAGCAATACCAATGAGATGTTCCATCAATAATTTATTTTAAGCATGGATTATAATTGAAACAAATTATCTTTGATCGTATATTTCAAGATATTAGTCGTGGTTGTAAGTTGTCCGTTCGTAAGAAACAAAGCCGGGTAAGCTTCTCTTCTGAGTGAGGGGCGTAGAAACAAACGTCACTAGACACAGGTGTGGTGTTTTCGGTGAATAAAGTTGTAGTATACAACGAATGTACGATAAGCTATGTTTGCAGTGATAAACAAAATTTCCGACGGTAAAGCCGTAAATCTTCGTCGTTTGTACATAATATTCTTCGTGTTGTGGCTGACATGTAAGTCTTTGTATGGAGATTGCTGCTTCAGAACACACCAATTATATGTATAAGCCTATCAGTTATTTTTCAACAACACTGGAAAGGCGTTTTTACTGCGACGGAAAATTGGCTAAAGACACGTCAGATATCGTTAAACGATTCAACCATTCACCGAGTCTCAACAAGATGTGGCGATCTGTTCCGTTTAAAACGCCATGGGATCGAGAAGATACTTCAACAAGCCATGTAACATCTCATTGTGCTGTATAAAAGCGCAGAACACGCATAGCAAAGCCGCTGCAAAAACGTTAGAAGGCAATATGGTCGCAAAATTCGCGGTATCAGGTCGACTGTTTTAAGTTTGAACTTATTGGGGACTTTTTCTCCAGTTTTTTTCACACTTGACCGCAAGATTGCAAATAGTCACAGTCCAGTGTGACGGGGACATAAGGCGAATCTACCGAGATGTTGTTAATCCAGCCCTTCGTATTCTCTGCATTTCGATATGAATTGAACATCAACAGTTCCTTAATCAAAGCGGTGTACGGAATATCCGTTTAAATATAACTTACGCAAAAGAATTTCTATTTTTTCCAACGAGAATTAAATAAAAATTCCCCTAATTTCTACGTATTGTATAAATAAATTTTTAATCTCTCCAATATTAGATTACTGTATATTTTGTTAATGTACACGGAAATAAACCCTTGCACAAATAGTATACAATTGCTTTGTCAATATCCCAATTTCACTTTGAAAGGGCCATATGCGTCATTTCCGGGAGTAAATCAGCTAATCAGTAATAATGTAGACTCAATCATCCCGAACCAATGCGTCCTTGCATAGTTGCAACGGAAGATGACTATATCTACAAGACATTTAACTTTGGGATAACCCGAATTTCAGAGAAAACATAAGCTTGTGAATAAAATAAATAAAAGTTAAATTTCTGGTTTGAAGTCTATTTGAAGACGTTATGCGATTTTCTACAGTTTTAGTAGTTCTGAAGACTATTTACATGTATTCAAAGTCCAAATCAACCTGCGGAAAAGCCACATCTGTCCTTTTAAGTGAAGTTATGGCACTTGTTTAATTTAGATTAACATAAAACTTTTATTCATCTTTTATATTGGTTTATTTAGCTTACTATTTTAAAAATGCAATAATAAGTATAATGTTAATGCAATATTTAGTAATAGCCCTGAAACAGCGTTTTTATCTCTGACTCAGAAACTGGTCTTTGAAGAAGACGTTTTATGATTGAACACAAGTCCATTGACATTTACTTGCTTTTTTGATATCACATGACCAATGATATAACTCATTTTGAGTAGCCTATTGCACAATAAACTGACAACCACTCTAAAACAGACAAATTTCCCTGAGACCGGTTTTGAGGGGTTTCACTGTGTACAGAAACAAACTATGGACAGATTTACTTCCCTTGCTCTTTGATAGGTCGTGTGAGAAATTAAAACGTTGTTCTTTTCTTATCCGTGTTTCTTCATTTTACTTTCAATGTAGATTCATCGTTTTCATTTTTATGTAATTTACTTATTACATATGATTTTCATGCAATGTCTAATACATGCACATAATATGTTTAACTTATTTTCATAAATTGTAAGATTATGACGGCAGTAAAGAATAACTTGATCTGGTTGAGAGAGCTTGACATGTTAAATGAAATAAACTGACACACAACAATGATAGACAGTTCTACCAGGTTTTTTTAAACTGACGTCTACAATAAGGCTCCCCCATTAGGTGACATTTCATAGTTAATAGAAGTCAAGTTACGTGTAATATTCTCAATTTATTAGACAGTTTAAGAACGTGTAAAAAATAATTGTAGAATGCATTTACATATTTTATTAAAGCCATATGTAACATGTTCTCATAGATAACTTCACTGTATTCAAGGAAGTCGCATTTCATTACGCAATTTCATTTATTTGGCAATAAACCAAATTTCGTTGTGCAGGGACCAAGTGTACCAAGGTACTTCATATATAGCTGAGTAATATGATTCATTTTTAAAATCAAGTTTGTTTTCAAGCAACGCATTTTTCAATTCATTGGCTTCATATTCCCATCTCTGGTTCGAATTATGATTCCCAGCAAATGACCTGAAACCCGAAATAATAATTCATAAGTCATTGTGAAAAATTTACTTATTTAAAAACAAACAGAATATTCAAAGACATTGTGTTATTTCAGAGACGTTCGACACTAACCATCAATCTGATGTGGTAATAGTGCAGCTTTATAAATCTAACACTTACCGCACATACGCTGTAAATTTTGGTTTTTCAGTTACGTAGACATTCAATCTATTCTGGAGTTTTGTTTTGTAAGACTTAGGTACGTACATCATCATTGTATACGTCTTCAGGGCATACTCCACCTTAGTATTCTGACCTTTCAGTAAAAGTGGATAAGAAAAGGGAATCCTTCTCCCTGAAAAAAAATTTTTTTTTGAAAATGTTCAATTATGGAACCTTATTTCAAAAAAAAATCATGTAACGTACGATGATTTGCTGAAAAAAATTACTAAGTCAATGATTCAAGTTAGTCCAGCGGCAGAGCCTCAATAAATATATGAAGGTATTGAGTATTTTCATATACAGATATACAATCATCATATTAGGCATGCAGTTACTTTGAAATTGTAGTGAATTTTGAAAAAAAATCTCGAATTTATGACATTTCGGAACCTGTGTCAGCTATAAGTACAAACTAATTCTTGGAAGGAGAGCAATAGTTTATATTTCATGTGGTTTCAACTGCCACTTATTGGTGGCAAAGGCTTAGGCTTTTTAGCCAACATTGTAGACATGACAAAATTACCCTGAATAAAAAATAGAGTTTTTCTTGTAATAATCAAAACAAGTGGTTGACTAGCAAGATACGCCCACTTTCCTGATACATTTTCAGTATATCAAGGGTGATCACCAATCTGTATCAAATCATACCAAAAATCTAATTTGTACAAGATATTGTTGATTTAAACAAACACACATTATTTAATAAAATTCTGACATAAACTGTCACCTTTATCGATAACAAATTTTAATGTAGTTTTTACTAAGTCGTGGGCAATTACTCAAATTCCGTTGATCAAAAATTGTCAAATTTTATCTCGACTAAGATTTAATCATTATAAATGATCATATCAAATTTCATTTAAATCGGATGAAAACTGTACTCTCTATTGTGTTCACAAACAAATTTTGACGCGTTTTTCATAAATCAAGGTCAATAACTCAAAAACCATAAATCGAAAGATAGCCAAAATTCGAACTTGTCCAAGATCTCATCAATATAAATGATCACACCAAATTTCATTCGAATCAGATGAAAACTGTAGTCTCTATCGCGTTCACAAGCCAATTGTGGACAGACGGACGACGGACGGGCGGACATAGGTGACGACAATATACGGCCACATTATAATGTGGGCGTATAAAAATGAAGAATATTTATAAATATTAAAGCAAAGATGTCAATAATACTTATGTTACAAGACCTGTTTTGAAGGCCATGTAGAAAAAGTATAAAAACACTAAGCTAGTATATATGCCATAGTGTTGTAGTCTACACATACGCAAGACAATGTCTAAGTTATGTATTGTTGATCAAAGGGAATTACTACTGTACTATTAATGCGTTTAATTTTTTTTTAATTCGGTTTCATTCAAAATATAAAATGCAGACGAGTTTTCATTTTATTTGACGAGCCAACAGAGTGACAAGGAAAAGAATTAACATACGATGTACAGGCACATATATCAAATTTACTTGGCTATAAAAAAATGTCATTAATACATCATGAAGAATTTATATGCCATGTCGACCATAAATGAAATTTGTTTTTGAACATGATGACATATTTGAAAGTAGTTTTAAGTAGGTACTATATGAAGTTTGAAAAAAATCTGCACATAGTAACGGATTTGAGCAAAAAAATAAAAAAATAAACATACCACGAGAATATTCATGGATTGGCACAAACAACTGCTTCTTAGTTTCAAAAGTAAGATTTCGACTTAATACATCATATGCAATCCATCTTTCAGGCTCATATTCTCTCTTTTCGTAAAACTATAATAAACAATACAATGCATTTAGTAATCCAGAGTCTGAAAGGATGGCATTCTACCACACTCCACGAGATTGGACTAATGAAGACGGACAACGCAAAGTATGTGACTGTCATTTGGATCTTTAACGTCAACAGCTTGTGGCATCCTTGGCCAAGATTTTGGTCGCACCCAATTGCATTTTCAAGTTCCCAGCCGAATCTTTGTTCTGGGCTGTATTAACAACAATCAGAGCATACCGATGCTATAAGAAAAAGCCATTGTGTTGCTGTGGCGCTGTCACACATTGACAATGCTACATTTAAACTATATTCCCGGCAGGCCACGGCAATCATGGTTCGGGCCACCATGGTGAACGTGAGACAACGTGGCAGGCAAATGTGACAGACCGTATCTGCCGTGGATGCCTGGCAAGAAATTTGCCACGACAGTCACAGTGCGGAAAATAAAACTGAGTTAACTCTACAAAACGTGGCAATACAAAAAAAGGCCGTTACAACACTTTGAAATGGTCTGTAGTGGGACTGAAATCGTATGCATTCCCCGGCATCTGAAATTCCTTTCCACGTTGTGTTCTGTTTTGTCAATTTTCACGCCAAGCTAGTTTGAACGATATCCGTTTCGTTTTAATTGAGGTGCTTACTAATGTGTGACTGGCCATTACAGTGCGATGAGTTCTGCTACGGCCGTACACTGTGTGCGCGGCCTTGAAAAGTGTATAAACCGTGAAAAAAAACTTAACAGAATCTAACAAAACTTGTACATTAAAATAAAAATTGGCCAAGATCCCACGGCGCAATACGTTTCAGGCAAACGGGACTTCCGTGGCCGCCGGAAACAAGTGCAACCATAGCAGCGTAAACCCAGCGTAGGAAAAATATGTTGAATACACTGTCGTACGTCGAATACTAAATGTTTAAGCTGAATACCGTTAATAAAGCCCGCTGGTATACGTCGTTGTTAGAGGATGTACAAAATCATCTATAAGTTTTCAGAACAATCTCTGAAGGTCACTTTCACGTTATGTATACGTGCAATCCATTATAATTACGCGATGAACACGTCCCAAAATAAAGACAAAATACGTCAATAGAATGCAAGTGTTTTAGAGAATTTCTGCCGACTTAATCGTCAGGCTGTGAAAGGACCTTTAAACACACGTTTATCCTCATTTTATTACAGTTCTGGGCTGTATTATCAATAATGTGATACTACAAAAAAGTCATTGCGTTGCTGAAATACACTTTTATCCACATTTCACTTATTCCAATTCCACTCTTTCACTTCACAAAAATTGTGAAGAAGGGTTCCATGATAATTTTGTAATATCTGACATCAACCTGAGAGGTTGGATTTCAAGTGGTTACTGAAACTGTACAGTATATATACAGTTTAAGGAAAAAGATACGCAGTAATACAAAGTGACTAACAGATCTAAACTAAACTTGGGAAAGTTGTTCATGATAATCCAAGAAGGAAATATAAAATATATTTTTTTTTTGGTTTTCGGTAATTTTAATTTCCTTAATTTATTATTATTATTTTTTTTGTGTAAGGTTTGTTTTAAACACACTACAATAATTCGTGACAGATTTGGAATAAAATATTAATCATCAAGTAAAAATCCTTTTGAAAACTTAAAAGTTTAAAGTATATTAAAGGTTGAATATTTACTGGGAATTGATACTGTACTGCCAAAGATATTTATTTAACAAGATCGATGCAAATGAGCGTAAATTACCCTGCAAACTTACTTTTAAAAAGTGTGAAAATGTGGACATTCTTGTCTGCATTGGACTAATTAAGACTTGAATGTAATTGAATTTTAACAAAGCGAGTAGCTTAATCATTGTCTTAAATTACAGAAAAAGATAGTTTTACACTGCGAATAAATAGTGAGAATCTGATAAACAAAGTCTTCATTGAAAGGAGATTAATTAATATCGTAACATAATATTATTTATATTATCATTTTCTTAAGCACCAACGATCCGAACCGCAAAACGAAACCCGAAATCTAAACCAACATTTCGCGAAACATTGGGAGCAGCTAAGGAAAATTTCACACGAGACAGTATATCATAAGTGAGTAAGTATGTAATAATGAAAAGTGGTATCAGTTGTCTTGAAGAGTAAGCATACCCTGCCCGGGTCCATATCCGTCATAGTTGCACAACATACACAACAACACTGCAATGACATTGACGGTTTAAGAAAAACAAAGGAAATTTAAAAAAAAAACATACCGCGGTTTTGTTCACTACTGTAAATTGTGGACAAGGTTTATCTTTACAAAACGATGGTTTTCCATTAACAACAGTGTAAGGTCTTTGACAAGAAACAAACTGTAGAAGTAACACTAGAACTACGATTCTCAATGCCATTCTGTCAGTGAATGGGGTTACTTTCTTCTTTCTCAACTAATTATTCACTTGTAAACGATCACGTGTATCTAGTGACGTAAATTACTTTCAAGACATACCTAACTATTACATAACTCAAAAGTGAATTTAATTTTTTATAATATCCCATTCAATACGAAAATAAAAATGGATTCTTCCGACAGTTACGATGCATAATTCAAACGTCAAGATATGATTATGCAAGAATATTTGACAATTTTTGTAGAGTAAGTTCCTGGATGCGTGGTGATATCTTTTTATGGTATATTATGTCAGTCTTCGCCCATTGTTCCGAGCAATATTCTTTTATAAAGACGTTTTTAAAAGAACCTTGTTCTAGATATAGAACTACAATATTGAATACAGCCAATCAGAGCCCTCAACAGAAAACAGAAAATAATAAACCCTTACGTTTACATTCTTTCTGTCGAGGGCTCTGATTTCCTGTATTTGCTGGGCTACAATCCAATCAAATTGCTGCTTTCCGCATAACAAGAACAATGGCTATTGTAGTCAAGGTAAAAGATAAAGTTCGCAATACCTTGACCATTGTGAGAATGCCACGACATCGTTGACCAAGTTTTCAGTCTAAAATTAATTTGAACTGAACCTTATTTATCATAAAAAATAGATATTTGAACTTCATATTTTGAAGGGTATTTAGTAGCTTTCCTTTGGTCAATAAACAAAAAAGAGTGCAAAATCTATATGATAATCGTGTAAGTAAATTATTGAGCAGGCACCAATCATTTGCAAAAGACAATAGTGAAACATTTATAGTACAGATGCCGCTTCAAGCTATTGTGTAGTTTATAGTTTCTTTTTCTTTTTTTTTTTTGAGTTGCATGATTGTGTCTCGTAATTCATTTTTTAATTTGTACAATGTAACGACCCACAATATCAAAAGCTGTACATTACAGGGAATTGTATATCACGTCATATTTGTTTTTTTTTATCTTCCTCTTACAAAAAAATAAATGTCATTTTCTTCAAAGCAGTTAAATGTATATTTCCAAATGTTGATGTTGATATTTTTGCTAATTCTAACAAATGGAAATTTGTTCATTTGTCTGCTTGCTACAGTTGTAACGAAAACTGCTGAGGCTGAAATACTGACATGTTCCTTTAGCAAAGGTTCGATGATTATCCACTTATAGCTGTTACTTGCACAATCTCACATTCTCAGACACATTCTCTCCTAACATACGTCACCATTCAATTTTTCGTAATATTTGGCAAAAGGAGGTTGATTGGAAATGGCGACCATCATCTAGAGTTGTTGTAGTTTCGCACTTAACCGCTATCGAACAGCGATCGATGTGAAACTTAACAGAGAGGTACTTACACGTTTCAAAATACACTAAAGTTTCTTACTATCATTAACCAATTTCAAAGTTTTATGTGGGATTTTTTCGGGTTATGACGACAAAGAGGGGACATAGCTGTGTTATATCATTGATTTGTTTATTTGGAATAAATGTAAATAGTATTCGAGGAGGCGTAACGATTTTGGACTCAGACCACTAAAACTTTTTATGTAAATGAATGTAAACGAATATAGTTATTTTTAGAAGTCCCTTTTCTTCAGAAACTAGATATTGGTCAGTCTTTCATGTGACATATTGGAAAGTTTTCAACGAGATTTTTTGGAAAAAGTTATAGAAGGTTAAATTTCGTGATTGGAAACAGATGGCAAATGAATTAACGGTCTGAGTAATGTCTCTAACAGTGAGATTTTTAAAAACAAACCTGCTTTTTGACAGTTTTGGTATTTTTATGAGTGGAAACTACAAAATAGGTCGATATCTCTCAAATTTTTGTTGAAGTTTAGAATATTTAGGTCATGTATAGGAAATTATGCAGCTAACGATTGAATGTACAGGAACGGTACAAAATTGCACTAAATAATTAATAATACAGGCATTTTGAAGAGGTTATGAAGTCTTAAAGTTGTTTGCTAAAGCAGATATGGCCTCTCTTAACCATTTAAATTGAGGTTTTCCTATGTGTTATCCAGGTCTCTACAATAGGTATCTATACCTGCCCTGGTAGTCTACTTCAGTGTATGATATGATTTTTTTTCTTGGAATCAGAAGACTATAGAATACTTTTAAAACTTTTCACAAATTGTCATAAATGGTGTGGGGACATCGAAGGCCAAATAGGTAACAAATGTTTTGGGATTTTGTGAGATGATGAGAGATTTTCAAGCAGAAGGATAATTCTAAAAATAGTCGTTTTGTGTGCATTCAAGCGGATGTTGATAAAATGTAGTGGTCTACTTTCAGTTTGGCCAGCTCAAGATTTTTATGGTCATGATATATTGAATTTTTGTCCAGAAACTAAGCTTGGCCAAGCTTTCATGTGATATATTGGAAAGTTTTCAACAAGATTTCTGGAAAATGTTATAGAAGGTTGAATTTGGTGATTTAACTTGGAAACAGATGGCAAATGAATTACTGGTCTGAGTTCTTGTAGATGAACTCTTCTTTTTCATTCTTGCCATCAAAGCTCTTTTGCACTATGAACTTCAAGACTGGTTATAGAAACATTTTCCTGCAAATTTTGTTTGAAGGAATCTAATTGATGATTAAATTTCAATTAATGGCGAAAATATAGGATTGTGCAAGCAACGTCTAGATGTGGATAATCAACGTAACGTTGCTAAAGAAACAGGTTATTTTGAGTAATATGATGTGAATCTTTGCTTGGATATGTCACTTAATTTACACGATACAATCTAAAGTATAAAGATAGCTTGCCAGGCAAGGTAATATACGCCCACTGGCTATATAACTAATATCAAAAACATTTCGATTTTTTTTTTCATTTCCAATAGGTTTCATCTTGGTGATGATAGAAAATTTCACCAAGTTTCGTCAAAATCCATACCTTCTAAATTATTTACGAGCATATGTCAGTCAGTGACCGACGGACATAGGGGACGCCAATATAAGCTCCTCAATTCATAAAAATACCTCCAGCGCCAACCGACATTGTAGTGTTAATATATAAGTCAGGTAATGATATATCCTAACTTTATTGGACAGTTTAAACACATATAAATATTTAATACATTGGCCCATTTTATTAAAACTATATAATATTATGTCGTTTTCATTTATATTTTAAACTACAAAATCATTTATTTGGCAATAAACCAAATTTCGTTATGACTGGCCCAAGTTGCCCATGGTTCGCTATATATAGCTGAGTAAAATATGTCATGATTAAATGTTAACTTGTCTCGAATCAACGCATTTTTCAATTCATTAGCCTCATATTTCCACCTGAGGATCGAATTTGGATTCCCAGCAAATGACCTGAAATCAGAAAAAATAATAAATAAAAAGAAAATGTTTCCATATGTAAATGATTCTTACCTTCTATAAAAATAGATATTCATGGTAATTTAAATAGCGCTCTTTCATTTTGAAAATTACCTAGTTACAAAATACCTATTGTACTTGTGTCATTTCAGGCATTTATATTCATATTTTATTCTATTGTTATTCTTTATGAACACAGTATGGTGCGCAAGTGGCGTTTTATTAGATCTCCGAAAGCCAAATATATAGATCTAAAATGTAGTAATGTGCCTTTGATTTTCGAAAGATTTGAAATAGCAAAAATTGTTGTCTGTAGTAAGAAAGGAAGTCCAACTAGCTTATTGGTTTAATGATTTTGTTATCTGGTATTAGTATAGCTTTATAGTATCCAAAACTTACCGCACATACGCTGTAAAATTTTGTTTTTCAGTAACGTAGACATATCCTCTATTCCGAAGGTTTCTGGTATAAGACTTTGGTACGTACATCATCATAGTAAAATTGCTCACCTTACTATAACTTTTCACCAAAAGTGGGGAAGACGCGGGAATCCTGTTTCCTGAAATAATACAACTATAAAAGAATACATGGTGACAACTATTTTGAAAAAAAGTGATATCAGTGAAAACATTAATAACAACTCAATCCATGTGTATTACAGAGTGGAACGTTGCTAATGTTCAAATTGAGAATTTGAAAAAGTTCTAAGTCACTTTGACCATGTGACAGAGCAGTCCAAAATTGCGAAGAACTGCAATACCGGAAGTATGTGTCTCACACGTGTATCTATGGATAGCCACGGTTAGTGACCTTTGACTTTGTAGAGGTGAAGGTTGACAAAGGATATAAGCCTTCAATTTTGAAAAAAATCAGACGGCTATTTAACTGGAAGTAGCCATTTGACGTCAAATATAAATATATTATTTGATATCTCAGGTCCATGAACCGTCAAAAATCAAGGAATACAAAGGTCAAGGTTAAAACTTCTGTTTTTGAACTAAAGCTAAAACAATTTACTTTTAACACAGTCCAACCAAAGCAATAATGTATCTGTGTACTGCGTATTTTTTGGAACATATCTTTACGATACTATGCAGCTAAGTGATCGTAATGTGAAGCTATATTATGAATCATAAAATAGTAATTTCTTTATAAAAACAATTGTTATATATCGTTGCAAAGAGCACAACGAGTACATTAAGAATATGAAAACATTAACCTTCTACGCTGGCGTTCTAGAGCTGTCCAATGTTGCATTTTTGCTGGGTTTTTTAAAGGTATAAACTGGAAGTATACATCGGACGTCAAATACCAAAATATCAACTTATAGCAAAGTTCAAGATCATGAGATGTAAGCCTTTAAACTTAAAAATTTAACCCGAAAAAACAAAATCAAATTAAGAATTGACTTCCAATGTTAATGTCATCCCAATCGGTTGAGCTGATAGCGAAAAATTTCGACTTAGTATAACTTCCTTTCCTGATTATTTTACTTTTTCATTATCATGTTGTAACGTTGACTAGGGACCGGTATATATATACTTCGCTTATATATATCAATTACACCGGATGTGGGAAAACAGAAAGATTGCATCCATTTCCTGTAATACGTGACTGTCACATTTTGTCACATCAATCAGGAGCGAAATTTAAAAAAAAAGTGAGCAACGAATTTTTGAATATCTTTTTTTTTTTCATATATGAAAATCCGAGCAAAATTATCCCCTTCTAGAACTTTTACTTTTGACACTACTTGCGGTTTGCAAAAATGTTTTAATTCATTTTATCCAATACGTCGCCAAAAATAAAGTCTAAAGATGTTGAAAATATATTTGAAAATCTGAATAGAGTTTCAGATTTGAGCAAAGAAATAAAATTCTTACTTCGAGTATATTTGTCGAGTGGCATAAACAGCTGTTTTTTAGTTGGAAATAAAAGAGGTTGTTCAACAACATCATTTGCAATCCATTTTTCAGGACCATACTGTCTCGTTTCGTACGTCTGAAATATAGAATATAGTGAATTCAGAAATCAACACAACACAGGATGGCAAAATGGGACCAAGTCCCTATTACACACTCTGCTCAAGATTTCGATAAATGGACTTACACAACCGAATTTTTCTCGGTTTACTGCAATATCCAATCGCCTTTTTTATTCCAAGTCATCTGATTTGGTTCAGAAATCCGAAGTTATCAATCAGATTCAACCTCAAGATGTGCTTATCAAAGTGCTATGTAGTAAAATTTATGCTGTAGTGGCCGTCTACATCTGATTTGATGCATCAAAAGACCCAAGTGGCACAGTTCCCCACCAATATATTCACATAAAAAAGCGATTTGAGCAGATTCTGATATACGGCTACTTACTGAAATCTCGGATAAGGACAATATTTTGTCACCGCCAAAATAGAAAAACATCATGGCCCAATTACAGCTTGATTTACAAACATTTCAAAATAAAAATAAGAAAAAAAAACTTACAGCAGTACTATTCTTTACTGTAAATGATGGACATAGTGTATTTTTACAAAACGATGGTTTACCATTAACAACAATGTAAGGTCTTTGACAAGAAACAAACTGTAGAAGTAACACTAGAACTACGTTTCTCAACGCCATTCTGTCAGTGAATGGGGTTACTTTCTTCTTTCTCAACTAATTATTCACTTGTAAACGATCACGTGTATCTAGTGACGTAAATTAGTTCGTAGATCTACTATTCGTTTTATAATTATTACATAAATACAAAGGGAATATAGATTTGGTACTATTCCATTTAGTACTTTTCACTGCGATTTAAAGGATATTTACAACAACTGTTTATTATATTCTCGTCAAAAATTACATGAACGATTTTTATCAATGTGAAATTCAATTATTTTCGTTTTTTTTTTTATTTATTTTATTTTTTTTTTTTTTGATATAAGGCGCTTCTCCCAGATTTAAAACAAAAATGGATTCAACCAGTTTGAAATATTATGAGAGATAATATTTATGTAAGCTTATAGAGTAGAGGAAGGTCATAGCTACTTGATGGCGGGGTCATATCTTTTATGATATATTATGTCAATCTCCACCTTCCGAGCAATAATTGTTATATGAAGAATTACCTAAAAGATCAAATATTACCTAAAAGATCAAATATTACCTAAAAGATCAAATATTACCTAAAAGACCCCTTTCGTAAATGCATAGGATAAAATGAAAATAAGAACTAATTAGAATAAGAGATAAATTCAATACTTAAATATTTTTTACATTTTATAGGGATAGTAAAGAGCTTCTCTTAATTTCATTTTATGTGAATTTGGGACACCGATATCATTAATATGCGCCATTCCAATTTTCGATCAGACGTCTGTGGTTCCTGCAATTCCATTAAAAATAAGTCGCTACTAATCGCTAAATAATGCTTTGTCACTTTGGCCCTTCGAGAAGAATGACGTCATCAAACGTGGAATTGCAGGAACAACAGACGCCTGGTCGAATGGTGAAAATTGATGATATCGGTTTCCCCGATACGCATACACAATTTAGAAACCTCTTTACAATCCCTTTAATTTAAAAAATATACTGCAAAGTCAAGTAAGAATTATCTTTGTTTCGTTTAATAAATGTGTCACACTCATATATTTTGCGAGACGGAACGGAAAAGAATAACCCCATTGTTTTGGAAAGTTCCCCAGCGACGCTAACAGCTTTTTTCGAGAACATCTTCAAGTCAAAATTTCTAGTCGTTTTTATATTTATATCTATTTATTTCAGCATCACTTGTTTTTTTGGAACAATTTTGAACAATGGCCCAGCTACAGACATCTTTTATATGTTTTTAACGGTATGAGTACTTTTTCTTTTGATCCACATTTTTTTTTTGAACAATATTTTATTTATTAATCAAAAATGGTACAGTTAACATGGAATATAATATATACGATACAGAAAGAAGATGACGCTTAATTAAATCTGCTTCGAATAAGCGTACAAAAATCTGTTAAAATTGCTATCTGAACCACATATTTTGGAACACAAAATATTGGTGTAGTAATCAGTGGTCATACAACATCTACTGCCACTACTGACTTTTTATAGTCTTGACTCAGTGACCAAGATGAAATTATCAGGGATTAAATAGGCACTCGTCTGGTGACAATTTTTTTTTACAGAGATTGTAAAGAGGTTTTCTAAATTTTGTATGTGTAT